ATAACACACGCGGCTTTCTGACACTACCTGCCGTGTGCATCTAAGTTTCCAGGAAATGCGGAGGTTTTTTTTTCTCTCATTCGCCGTGCGGTATCAAACATTGCATGAAAATACACGCTTAGAGCAGATCCTCCAATCAAATATCGCGTTTGTCACGAGGGGCATGAATGAATTCCCTGAATGAAAGATCCAAACGGCAGTTAAAGTCCAACATTTAATAATTTGGCAAAAAATTCAGTTACTGATGTCCATGTCAACACTTTCTTCCCTGTGTGTGTGTGTGTGTGTGTGTGTGTGTGTGTGTGTGTGTGTGTGTGTGTGTGTGTGTGTGTGTGTGTGGTTGTGTGTTTTGACTCTGAAACTCGCTCGTGCCCAAATCGACACTCCCATATCATCCTTCTTTAGTTCCTCCGACACTCCCCCCTAAACAGAGCTGGACACGCCCACTTTTCTGACTTTTTCCAAAGTAGAGGTGTGAAAACACCCTGCTGAAACGAGGGGCTTTCATGGCCCTTTAAGGGAGCTAATATTATTGACCTTAAGAAATTTGTATATAATGTATAAATTTGTATATGACAAATAATGTGAGAAACACTGTGGGAAATGTCTGCTCAGTTAAACAACGCATGGGAAATATTTTAAAAATAAATTTCACAGGACAGAAAATATTGTCTTCAGCTAGTGCAAGGCATTTTAATTTGACTTTTTTTATTATTTTTAAAATTCTTTTTAAGATATTAAGCAATTGTTTCTCTAGGTCAGATTCTTACCTAAATCTAGAATCATTCAGAGCCTGTGAAGCTGCATTAATTTTTCTCTCCACTGCTCACACTTCTCTTATTGTAGATGTAGTGTTTGGGGAAGAAGTTTAAAATTCTGAAAGAAAAAGAGAAACTGTATGTTATCTTTTAATTTCATGTGTTTATAATAAGAGATAATACTGTTCTTTAGGTTTAGAGATGTGAAGTGTTTGCTGTACACAAACTCTAGTTTATACAGAAATGTAATTGTCCTTTTTTAGAAATTGCTAATTTTTGTTAGCTTTTTCCTCTTTTTAAATAAAAATAGATTTCAATGAAAAGCATTTAAAATGCAATTTACATGCACGATAAACTGTACTCAAAATTGAGTTTTTCTGTGTTTAATAAATAAAGAGATTCATGAGCATACTGTACATGCAGTGCTTGTTTTGTGTGTGTTATTGTGACGTTAGTTTGATCCTTCAAGTTTGGAAGAAAACACGGAAGATTCAAAAGATAAAACGTTTCTAGTCTAAATATCTCAAATATTTTAAATTAAGAAGCATTTCCTAGACAAGAACTAATAGTGTCTTGTTTTTAGAAATAATGAGTCAAATTTCTTCTTAAAACAAGCAAAATAATCTTTTTTTACAGTCTGAAATGTCTATATGTTGTTCACCCAGTTGGCTCGCAGATGAAAACTCTGTTACGGGTTTATGATTGGTTTGTTCTGTTTCCTAGGTTTTGCTTCCTTTTTCTTAATAGGTGATCAGTATGAGCAGGTCCGGCTAATTTGATTGCTTATTTAATGAGCTGCAAAGACGTGTTCTACAGACTGCTTTGGAGCATCATTTCCGTTTGACTTCTTTTTACTTCCCCACCGCTTATATTATTTTTGTTTATTTTGAAATTTGATTATCTGTTATCTGGTGTTGTTTTGAACTTTATATGTAATGATAAACATTTAATTTACATATGGGTTACATTGGTACCCCTTAAATTGTTTTTATTATTTTGTAACCTTTAGATAAATATATTTTTTGCATTTTTATTCAATTTAGTTTGGTTCTTTTAATTTGTCGTGGCAGGCAACAAATTCAAATTGACTTGTTCACCTTTTCATTTGCTCTCATGAATATATTTCAGCACTTTTAAAATAGACAGCGGTGACTGAAACGTGTTCTCATGCAGTTAGGTTACATGCCCAAAGAATGGCCTTCTCAGCTGCAATATTTTTTTTATCTTTTACATAATGGATGCCCTTCCAGCTGCAACCCAGTACTGGGAAACACACACATACACAATGGCCAATTAAGTTGATCAGTTCCCCCTATAGCGCATGTGTTTGGACTGTGGGGAAAACCGGAGCACCCAGAGGAAACTCACGCCAACACAGGGAGAACATGCAAACTCCACACAGAAACACCAACTGACCCAGCCGAGACTTAAACCAGAGACCTTTTAACTGTAAGGCAACAGTGCAACACTACTGAGTCACCGTACTGCCTCAGAAAAATTTAACTTTGCAGACAGCAAGTAAAGCAGAATGTTGATCACCAGCGACGTAATCTTCACAGATCGCTGGAGAAAATCCCTGTCATTCACCTCTTTGCATGTTTCTATGGTTATTCTTTTGGATTACCTTCATGCTTCTGTTTGCTCCTGTGCTGCCTTGCCTGTCTGACTGCACTCAATATAAGCTGCATCTGGATCTTCACTTCTGTTGCCATCCAATTATTACACAGACGACAGGAAGTGAAGCAGAATTAGGATTTAGACATGCCTTGATGCCATCCTGCCATCTGATCAAGAACAGAGGAAACATGCATGAAGCTGGATGCCTTCTTTATATTGTAGAAGCACTGAATGCAGAATTCAGCAGAGCACTCGCTTGAAGTCCCAGAAGTCATTGCAGCTAAACAAATAGAAAAGTGGTCCACTTCACTCTTCCATTATTAACTATCATTTATCTCACCAACCACAGTGTCCCACTCTTGCATGGACACCAAATTCAAGGGCTTTCACAGACTTTTTAAATCACTAATAATTTTAAATAGAGCACCTTTGTAATAAAATTTTTAATATTGTATAGTGTCGGGGGGTGGTAATGCAATTTTTTTTATGATTGTTCTTTCTTTTATTCTTTATCAGAAATATGTTTTGCCTAATGATGTTGTGCAAAAGGTTTGCAAGTGTGGCCCCTTTAAGACCTGTTGCCCCTTTAAGAGGCGTCACTATTTACATGCCGCACAGCTAACTTTGTGAGAAGTGAGACAAGCCGTTCCAGTCCAGCTTGTAATATGCGTGCATGCATCCTATAAAGTGAGTTTTGCTCTGCTATATAATGCTCTATATTAACAGAAGGCTGTAATCTTTGATGTTTGTAGTGAAAATTATTATTCTATTGTAGTGAGCGCAAATAATCCGATGTGATCGTTACTAATACAAGATCGTTTTCTATATAGTGGCCTTGAGACTTATTAGTATATTGGTAATACTTTGTTATATGTTGACTATAAGGTTGTTGTTTTTCTATGTATTGTAAGCTGCTAGCAGTGGAGATATAAGCAGCTTCAGATCCAATCCAAATAGATTCTGGGTCGTCTATAAGCCATTCTAAAAGAAAACCCAGACTGAGCAGCAAAGATATAATATAAAAAGGATGGGGCAGCTAAACCACCTACTTTAACGGGGAGAAGAATGACACGATATCATAGTCTTGGTCTTTTTTTTATTTAGACTAAATAAATTAAATTCTAGCACGATTTAACTGGGCTAATACTTTTTTAGTCATTTTAATATTGAGCTTGTATTTATCTTTGTACAAACCACACCTTTTACATGCTACCGTAAAGCCTCAGAGAAAAGAACATTTGTTGACTGAATTCCTGGACTCTGACCAGCCCGCCGGAGCGAGAGATCCATAGTTACCATTCACAAAGTTTAAATTCCAAATATTATAGATACATTCACCAAAATTTTTTTATGAGTGTGATGCAGTTTGCACACTAATAAAGCATTTTTCAGAAGTAGAAGTTTCCTGTTGCTGGCTAAGTGACATCGATATGTGAAAATAACCTCACACCTAGCTAAAATAACCTCTCACCAGCTTTACTGTTGAAGCTAAGATGTGCTGAAACTGCACACAGAATATTTGCAGTTGAGAAGTCTTATGCTTTTGATGTTGTGTAAATAATTTTTAGAAAAGCAGAAGTGTGTTTGGGTGCTAGCACCAGAGGACTGCAAAATGTGAACTGCAGAATGATTGACAAGTAATAAATTCCACCAAAACTCCACCTTTTAATATCAGTTGTGGTTACATACCAGAGTCAGGGAAATGCGAGGTAGTTGCAAACCTCCTGGATGTAATTCTTATATTGCATTGGTGTAGCATATTGTAACGACGGGCTGGAGGGAGTGACAGATACAACTGAGGTAAGATCCAATATGCAGGTTTATTCAGCGTCAGGCAAGCAGTGGTCATACAAGTGCAAACGGGTATATATAGGCAGTCCAGAATCGTAGTCGGTATAACAGGCAATAGGTCACAAGGCAGGTGGCTAAAGAGGAAAACAGGGAAAACAAGGCTAAGGTCTAACACAGAGAAACAAGACAGGGAAACGCGTTGTAATGTCACAATAGGTAAACAAGACTCGGCAAACTGGAAGGGTCCAAGAGTGGCTTATAAGTGGTGTGATATCAGTCTCTGACAAGGTGCAGCTGGTGAGTGCAATCAAGCTAGATGTGTGAGCAGGCGTGAGTGTCTGGGAGAAGTGCATGTATGAATATGTAGTCCTGCAAAATGCGGAAGTGTAGTCCTGGTGTTCGTGTGAGAACCCGCGATCTCTGGGGAGCGATCGCTGGTTATGTGACACATATAACCCAGAGCTCTGTTATCAAATTATTTATTTATATCTAATAAATTACTAATACTTTTTTACTAATATCCCATGAAAGTCCTTCCTGTAATTAGCATTTCATCTAACAATGATGTTTTGAATGTGTCATTTTCAAAAATGTTTAGCATTTTAAAAAAACATTTTAAAGCCATGTTCTAAGAACTTTAATACGATTAGTTGAACACAATATTAGTCATTTTCAAATGCAGTTTCTGACGTATTATAAAATTACAACTGCAACCACTTCCTCTGTTGGCCACTTGTTTATAGATCATGTACTCTTAATGTAACTACAGTTCATCTTTGCAGACATACAGTAAGCCAAAAGAGCAGAACATGGAGACCTGTAATAAACGCAGCAATGTTAACAATCCATCTGGAGCTCAGAGTCAAAGTGAGGGTCAAGGAAGAGCTGAAAAACAAAGTAAGTAGAAGTTTATTCTGAAATCTAGGTGATGCTGAGCATGAGAAACACTGCATACTAGTAAAAATATTTTATATGAAAAATGTGTCTGATTTTACTTTGTATGAAGTCTATTCATTTTTTTTAAATGCATGTTTCTGATCACATTCAGAATGTTTCTATTGATTTTTCAATTGATTATTTTGACTGTTTAAATCTGAACAATTGTTGTTTTATAAAACCATATTGTACCATACAACCATAGATGTAACTGACTATGGAGAAAAAGTGTTTGAATCAATCCATGTGTTTAATGTGTTATTACCCTACTGAAAAAAACAGCTTAAACCAGCCTAGGCTAGTTGGCTGGTTTTAGCTGGTCGACCAGACTAGTTTTAGAGGGGTTTTGGCCATTTCCAGGCTGGTTTCCAGCCATTTCCAACCTGGTCTTAGCTGGTCAGGCTGGGAGATGACCAGCTAAAACCAGCTTGACCAGCCTAGGCAGGCTGGGAGCCCAGCCAAAACCAGCTATGTCCAGCTTAAACCAGGCTGGTAAAGCTGGCTTTAGCTGGATTAAGCTGGTCATTTTCCAGCCTGACCAGCTAAGACCAGGCTAAAAATGGCTTAACCCCCCTGAAACCAGCCAACCAGCCTAGGCTGGATATACTGCAAAGAAATGGAAAAAGATGTTGAATTATGTATTGGTAAAAAAAGGAATCAATATTTTCTTATACAGTGGTTTGTCAATAGGTGCACATATACATGTTTATCAACAAAACTTAAGTTCAAAAGTGTGTTAGAAATGAACAAAAGGACAAAGATATTTCTTTAAAGTTTGACCACAATGATAGATCCTCATAGTGTCACAGCTAGGCCACATTCTCCTCAATCACTGTCACCTGAATACTAATCAGCTCTGCACCTGCACGTTATTCACGCTCATCATTCCAGCACCATAAAATCCCTCACCAGTCCTCACTCAGTGTCTGGCCTCATTGCTAAACTAAGGACTGCACTCTTCACACGGTCAGTGTCTGAATATCTATTTCCAAGTTCATGTACCTCTCTCTCTTCCCCTGTAATCTCCAGTGTCTGCCGCTCTCTTTTCTAGCGTGGTTTCTCTTGGTTGTCTTCCGCGTATCTATTATTCTGTGTGCCTGGCTCTTCTGTATACGTCTCTGGTCATCCAGATCTATCTGGTCATCCATCTCCGTCCTGCATATTAGCCATATTGAATCCACTCTGCCATCATTTACAATAAACTGTTTTTATGCTCAAATCTTTGGTTTCCGTCCTTTCTTGTGACAGAAAGCCGGACCTACATCGACAGGATGAGCGACAATGACATATTTCAAGTGTTGTGGACTCTCTCAAACAAGTGTTGCAAACACCACCACCAAGCACCTCCACCTAGCGCACAATTTCTCCACTGAATGTCAACGCCAGTACCATGGCCTAGCCAGCACCCTACTCAATGGTTCTCTGCTATAGTGTTCGCTAGTTTTTAAAATGTAATCTATACAATATTCTTCAGATTCTTCCAAAATTGTTTTCATGATTTCTCTACTTGCAAGCAAGGTGCAGTTAACAGAACATTTCTGAGAGTTTTTTTGGTTGCTCCACTGTAGAAGCAAGTCAGTTATATCATCTAAAACAAGGCAGAATGAGAACCCAAGAACATTCATTAAAATTTGGCACCCTAGCAGCAGCCAGCCAGTGGGAGGAATGTGCCCTGATGATGATCTATTGTCAAGGTCTTGAACCACGCATGAGAATGCAATTAGCAGCCTACAATGGTTCTTATGGTCTTGAAAACTTCATTCAGCTATCTATAGAATTTTCCTCCCACATGGAAGCCCATAACAGAGAACAGTCAAGCACCTGCTATTCTCCACTCCTCCATCAGCCTGTTTCCTCAACCTTTCAAGTATCCAATCGAAAACACTCTGGTTACTAAAGTAACCCTTGTTCCCCGAGGAGGGGAACGGAAATGCTATAAGTGGATTTGATTTTAGAAAATCCACGTATGGCAGGATTCGGTTCAGAAGCCACTTGTCTGAAAGAGTATGGAACGGGCCAATGAATGCCAATGAATTGGCAGCGTAAGCTTGCACATGTGTGTTTCATTGCCAATTAATTGTGTGCTTCATTGCCAATTGCTGGGGGCCACGGAGAAATCTTCATAACCAACTAACGTATCGGAGAACTATGAAAAACGCCATAATGCCTGCACCTTACCAACGCCTCCGATGAGAGGATAGTCAAGCAAGCGTGACGCACCCACATCATGAAAGACGCGGTCCTCCAACATGTCCCTGGCCCTAACTTATCCAACTTCAATGGAAGTTTTACAGATTTAGGTATATTTTTTGGGAAGTTGCGAGCGTCTAGATAATTCTAGGAAAATACGATAGTACGTTGGGAAGCATGCAGTGGACAAATAAAGAAAGGGCTGGGTCTGCCTCCTCCGGGGGCAGCGCTTGCAGGCTCACTACCTGGTATTAAAACGGAGTGGTAGGAACCTTGGGCACATATCGCGGGTGGGGTCTCAGGACGTGAGAGAAAGCCAGCTCGAATTACAGGCACGAGTCACTGACCGAAAAAATGCCTCCGGGTCCCCGACCCTCTAATCGATATCAACGCGACCAGCAGAGCTGTCTTCAGGGACAGAAGAGGTACTGAGTCGAGGATTAAAGGGATCTGACGCGGCTCGTGTAACGAGGGCGAGATCCTAAGAGGGCATGAGAGGGGGGCAGGGTGGATTAATTCGCCTAGTGCCCCTAAGGAACTGGATAATGAGGTTATGCGTTTCCACGGTGCTGCCAGCCACCGCGTCATGAGAGCGGAGATGACAGCCACATAACCTTGAGTGTCCTCTCCAGCTTCTCTTGGCGTAAAGAATACAAAACGCTGATCTGGCAAATTACGGGGATCTTCTCTGCGAGAGACGCACCATTCAGTGAATAGACTCCACTTCAGGGCATAGGCGTGCTCAGGGAAGGGGCTCTAGCCTGAGTGACAGTATAGCCAATGCAATTGGAGGTTACCTAAGTCTTCCTCGCGTCTAAGGACCACCCCGAGATCCAAAGATCGGCAAGGGTGCCAGATGGTGCCTGTCCCTGAGAGAGTAGGTGCTCTCTTAAAGGGAACTGCCAGGGGAGGGCTTTCGCGAGGAGGGATAGCTCTGACATCCAGGTCCGGTTGGGACAGATGGGTGCAACCAGCAACCTGTTCCTCGTCCTCCCTGACCTTGCACAGTAACTGCATGAGCAGGCTCACTGGGGGAAGCGCGTATTTGCGCATGCCCCGAGGCCAGCTGTGGGCCAGTGCATCCGTGCCGAGAGCCCTCGGTCAGGGAAAAGAACAACTGGCAATGAGCGATCTCGGGGGAAGCAAACAGATCGATCTGGGCTTCCCCGAATCGCGCCCATATCAGCTGAACAGACTCGGGGTGGAGTCTCCATTCTCCAGAACGTAGGGCTGCCGTGAGAGCACATCGGCAGCACGGTTGAGCTTGCCTGAATGTGAATGGCGCGCAGCGATTTCAGCCGCGGATGACTCCAGAGGAGCAGACGGCGGGCAAGCTGAGACATGCGGCGAGAGCGCATACCCCCCAAGCGGTTAATATACGCCACTGACGCCGTGCTGTCCGTCCTGAACAGCACGTGCTGCTGCTCCAGCACTGGAAAAAAAACGGTGGAGAGCGAGGAACACTGCCAACAGCTCCAGGCGATATGCCAATGCAACTGGGCACCCTTCCACAGGTCCGCAGCCGCATGCCCGCTACGCTATTGAAATGACAACAAGACTGGACGCCTGTCCTAGAGGCGCTCAGGCTTGTAGGAACGAGGGATCGCTCCAAGGGCTGAGGGCGCGGCAACACAGCGCAGTAACAGAGACTCGGTGTGTGCCCGCGTGCCATGCTCGTCTGGGGACTCGATCGTGAAGCCAGTGCTGAAGTGGTCTCATATAGAGTAATCCGAGCGGCGTGAAGCGGCTGCGGTTGCCATATGCCCCAGGAGCCTCTGAAATAGTTTCAGTGGGACCACTATTTTACTGTCGAGCTCTCTCAGACAGTTCAGCACCAGCTGAGCGCGCTCTCTCCAGCTCCAGCCCGAGAGAAGAGATCCTTTACACGGGGGCGAGTTTACTCTTTTCTCGGTTGGCCTGAAACCCCAACAGGTGGAAGTGCCGGAGCACTTTGTCTATGTGCATAATCAATTGCTCCGAAAGTGGGCAAAAATCAGCCAGTCGTCAAGATAATTGAGTATGCGGATGCCCGCGAGCCGAAGGGGCGCTGAGGCAGCGGGGAAAGAGAAGTTCCCTCTTCTCCAGATGGCCTGTCCCAGGGACGCTTCGCGGTCCGTTGCTGGACTTAGCGGCGTTCTGGGCAGGGGGGGCTGCCTGATCACCCATCAGACTGCTCTCTCACCACCTTGAATTCCTGGGTGAATTCACAGACGGTTTCACCGAACAGGCCAGCTTGGGATATGGGAGAGTCCAGAAATCTGACTTTTTTGATTTTGCCCATAATCAGTCAAGTTTTAGCCAGGGGTGGCGCTCCTGGACCACTAGTGTGGACATCGTCCTCCCCAACACACACGCTGCGGACACAGACAATCCCATGGCTATCGCATGAAAGGCGGAAGCAGCCTGGCCCGCAGCCTTGTAAGCTCTAGCTCCGAGGGAGGCAGATAACTTACAGGCTTTGGATGGGAGACGAGGCGGACCCCGCCAAGAAGAGGCGCCGCGCGGACAAAGATTGACCGCAATCGCGCGCTTAACCTGAATAATCGCCACATACCCCCTGGCCGCTCCACCGTCAAGAGTGGTGAGGGTGGAGAGACACGCAGTACGAGCAGAAAAAAGTGCCCTTTAAGACCGCCTGAGCCTACTGTGCACCTCCAGGAAGAAGGGGACGAGAGGCTTTGAAGGCTTTGCCTTCTGGTCCTCTACTTAGCACCCATCTAGTCGGTCCAGCCACGGAGCTGGGGGATAAACCATCTCCAACCCACGGCCGAAGCAGCCCGGCAAAGCAAGGCTAACATGTCCGTATTAGGATTCGTTTTGACAGCGCTCACTTGCCCGAAGGGAGCGAGCGGGTCTGGATCATCATTGGACAATGAAAGCCCACCCTCCAATGCCGCAGTGGACGTCTGGTCTTCGGTGTCATCGAGCGTAAGGGCTACCATCTGTTAGACGGATTGCTTCCCCCGCCCGAAGCTTGGATGGAGCGATTGGAGGAGCGGGAGGTCCGGGGGCCCGTGGGCGACAGATTATCTCTCGCTGAAACCCTCAGATCTGCCCGAGTGCCCGCTGCAGAGCAGGGGAGAACTGGGGTGGTTTGCCCTTTTGCAAAGGCTAGCCGCGATCTTTACTGCGCAACAGTCATGGCATCGCAATGACGACATGAACTGCCCAGACATTAACATGCTGGACCCCCCAGGCATGCAACGCAGTGCTCATGCCCATAACATCCACAGCAACCACCACATCAAGAAACGCACGGTCGGAGCGCCATCCTAAAAAGGACGTGCTGCCACACTGTGTTCCTCTCTTTGTGAAGTTGCAACTTTATACGCACCGCTCTGGAGGACCGGACCCAAAGAACGCCAGGCAAGAGGTGAAACCCAGCTCGACCGTCTGCCGCTGCGTGTACACACTCTGGACCGGGAGACTGCTCTCGTTCGCTCGGAATCGCTGGATCACAGCAGGAGGAACCCTCATCGACTCGATCAGAAAGTCTCTGAAGCGAAAAGGATTGCGAATGCTCGCTCCACCTGTGCTTATATGCGGAGTTAATTGCCAATGAAGCACACGTGTGCAAGCTTGCGCTGCCAATTCATTGGCATTCATTGGCCCGTTCCATACTCTTTCAGACACGTAGCTTCTAAACCGAATACTCCCATACGTGGATTTTCAAAAATCCACTTATAGCATTGGAGTTCCCCACCGGAAGGGGAACCAAGGATTCTAAACCAAAGAAAATTAACTGAAGCAGAGCGGCTCCATCGACTGAACTGAGGTCTATGTTTGTATTGTGTGAAGACAGGGCATTTTTGTGCATCACATGCCTCATATGTCCATTGCGTCCAATTTATGATATGCAATAAAGCATGCTTCCACTCACTACTGTTGTGATGCTTACCGCACCCAACTTCTCTCTTCCAGTGGTCGCATGTTTGACTCCGGTTCAACTTCATCAAATCCCTCAGCCATCAGCTCCACTGCAAAACCCACACCTTTGAGAAAAGCAAAAATGTTCAGTCCATCATTGAAAAAGCCTTAAATCATCGTCATATTAATTAAATGGTGGATTCCATGCACATACAAATAGGATTATTTCATGCGGATGATATCAGTTTATTGGTTCTAGAAGGGTCAACCACTAACATATTCAAGCCCATGGCTGGTAAAGCACAATTTTGTGCTCTCTTGAGGCACTGGGCACAAAATGAAGTGGGAAAAAATTGTTTTTCTGACTGTTTTCCTAAGTTCCCAGTAAAAATAAATGTTGACTCCAATCCCATGTCTTGTGTACCACATCTATAGAAAGTCCTACTAATCAATGTTTAGAGAAGATTCCCAATTGTTACAGTGAATTCCAGACAATCTTCTGCCACAAGAGTCACCCAGCTTCCCCTTCATCGGCCATGGGACGGTGCCATAGACCTGATTGAGGGTGAGCCAGTGCCCCATGGACACATCTTACCCCATTCCATTCCAGAACAAAAGATCATTAAGGAGTATGTAAAATACGCCCAATCTCAAGGTTACATCTACCCTTCTTCTTTGTCCCTGTATATGTTATCGTGCTCTCAATAACATCAAAATTCAGAACAGATACCCACTTTCACTTGTCCAAGCTGCCCTAAAAAACATCTTTGCGGAGATCATGTTTTCACCTGGATCTCCACAGCACATACAATCTCATCAGAATACATAAAGGTGACAAGTGGAAGATGGTGTTTATCACCCCTAGTGGCCACTAAGTATCGGGTGATGCCCTATAGAATGTCTAACGCTCCTTCTGTGTTCCAAGATTTCATGAATAACATACTTTGTAGATTTCTGTACAAGACTCTCTTTATATTTTGATTATATGGTTTATATTGATGACATCCTTATCTTTTCCTAAAACCTTGCCGAACTTTGCCACCATGTTGCAGAGGTTCTTACATGAACAGATGACAATCTGTTGTTGAAGACTGAGAAGTGTTCCTTTCACCAAACCACCATCCAATTCCTAGGCTTCATTATCAATGTGCATGGAGTCAAGATGGATGAGGGAAAGGTGAAAGCCATCACTTCTTGGCCTCAACCAAACACCATCAAAGAACTCCAGCGTTTTCTTATTTTACCGTTCTTTTACTGTAAATTTATTCCTTACTATAGCAATATTTTCTGTCATCTCACGAGTCTCCACCAAGGTAAACCCAGGTGTTTGATTTGGACTTATGAAGCTGTCAAAGCATTCCACACCCTGAAGGACACATTTATCCGATCCAGAGCTCCCTTTATCCGTGGAGGTGGACACTTCCACCACCGAACTGGGGGCCAATCCTTTCCCAGCGCAGGGGCTACCATCAAGACTCCATCCATGTGCCTATTTCATCAAAAAGTTCAGCCTGGCGGAAGCCAACTACAATGTGGAAAATCATGAGCTCCTAGCTATCAAGTGTGCCCTTAAAGGGTGGATGCAATGGTTGGAGGGGTAAACATATCCATTCATGTTTTTTACAGACCACAAAATGTACAATATCTAAAAGAGGCCTGTGTCTCAATCCCCAACAAGTGAGGTGGGCTCTGATCTTCACTAGATAAAATTTCTCCATCTCATACCTCCCAGGTCAGAAGAACACCAAAGCCAACTTATCTCCCATCTCAAGAAGCTTCCAAGGATCCTGAGCCAATTATCCCTTCCAAGCTAATCATCAGACCCATAAATGGGAGACCCCTCCAGCCTCAGCCAAGGAGCCTCAAGTCATCCCCCCAGGCTGTCCCACTTGTCTACAATTTATTCCTCCAAACCAATATACCCAACTCATTCATTCACCACAAGGCACTGGCCACTCTGGGGCCAAATGAAACCTTCTTGCTGCCGGTGGCCCGAGATGGCATAGGACATGATAAGGTTCATGCAGGGGTGCAAGAATTTTGCCCTGCCAAAGACCCCTTGCCGTCTTCCCATCGGAAAGCTTGTACCCCTGCCAACTCCGAATCGTTCCTGATCACATCTAGGAGTCAATCTCAAGACATATCTTCCTGTCTCTGAAAGGAACACTTGCATCCTAGTTAGTGTAGACAGATTCTGAAAATTTTGCAAATTGACCCTCTTACCTGGGTTACTGTCTACCATGGTAACTGCAGAATTTATGGTTTACAATGTATTTCGTACTAGTCTACCTGAAGATATTGTTTCAGATTGAATTCCAGACGTGAATTCCACAGTATTCATCCCGAATATCTTGCTCCCAGAGGCTCACCATGAGTTTTACCTCCCACAATGATAGCTCTGTCTGTTCGATAGCATGTTAGCTGGTCGAGCTGAATGGCGCTGTCCGGAACGTTGTCACTAAGCCAAGTTTCCGTAAACACAAAAGCACAACAGTCCTTTACAGCCCGTTGAGATGAACGAACTAGACAGATATAGTCCAGTTTGTTGTCTAGCGAGCGTTCGTTCGCTAGAATGATGGAGGGGATTGCAAGTTTGTGTGGGTTAGGCGCTAGCGTAGTTCGGATTCCCCTCTTGCACTTCCTCTCGCGCCGCTTGAAGCGCCTCCATTGTGGGCAAGGTGTTGGGGTGGGAGGATGAGTAGGCCTCCGGAGCAAACCGAGATCTTGCAGCTTCTCACATCTGCGGAGTTTAACTTGTTAAGTTTGGTTCTGCTGATGTTGAGCAAAAATGTTCGACTATATGCACGCTAAAGGACAGATAAATGTGACGTGGACATACAATTACACTGCGACGTACAAGACAAAGAACATAAAAACACAGTTTTGTCTGGAGAGAGAGAAGCCACAGCAAGTGCACACGCCGCCATCTTGCATGCACCGCCATCTTTAATAACCAAAACTGACGAGAGTGTGACCGTGAGGGTCGCCATTGGCCAGGGCGATTCCTCTGAGCGACACGAGCAATAAATGTAATAGTTACAACTGAAGATAAAAAGATTCAAACATTTATCTAAATTATATATGGATATAATCTTCTTAATGTTTTAGGATTGGAGTCAGATAAAATGAAAGATAAATGTACTAATATTCTAAACCACCTTCATTCAAATTGGAGTCAGATATGAGTTAAAGTTAAACTGAAACAACATTGTGCATGGGAAAACACAGCGAACCTTCATCCACCAGTGGACACCTTAATTGGGCTAACCGGGTGGACCTTACAGTGGTGTGTTTACTTTGTATTTAATCCATTTAAATGCAATTGGGATTGTCTTTGAACATTTATTCGTTTAATTCACTGTATTTGGTTACACTAAATATTTTGCTGATACTCTCAATACTGATACTCAATTTTATTTTGATGTGTCCAGATATTGTGTAAAGAGCTTGTTTCATCTTATTTTGTCTTGGTCTTGAACATCCTTTAATTAAGAGAACTCAAACTGACCGCATTAATCCAATAAAAAATGCCATGTGTTTGCTTTTGCTATTTGTAGCCATTGAAAAGATTTAACATGTAAAATCTATATGAAGCAGTGTCAGACAAATGTGTATTTGACTATATGTGTGAAGATTTGAAATGTTGTTCTCTGTTAGGTAGACTAGTGTGAGTGCTGGTGGAAATTGAGCAGACATAAGTCATCCTGTCACAGACAAAGAACACTTTATTGAACAGATACTGGTTGAGACTTTATAATCCTTGAGTTTGGAAGTATGGCAGAGCAGCACAATACATTGGAGTGTAGCTTAATATAAGTGGTTCAAGACAAACAGAAATAACAAATAGCTATTTGTACTGAACAGAAATAGTAATACAATCACAATATGCTAATAGCTACATTCTGATATATTCAGACATGTATGCCATTGATCAACACTTGTGAATTGGCATCATGTACTCTAACATGTAAACCTGAGAGAATCAGTCATTATGGTTCAACTCTCACCATCAATATCACTTATAACATAAAGCAGGGGTCACCAAACTTGTTCCTGGAGGGCCGGTGTCCTGCAGATTTTAGCTCCAACCCTAATCAAACACACCTGAACAAGCTGATCAAGCTCTTACAAGGTATGCTTGAAACATCCAGGCAGGTGTGTTGAGGCAAGCTGGAGCTAAACCCTGCTGGGACACTGGCCCTCCAGGAATGAGATTGGTGACCCCTGGCATAAGGTAACAATATGTACATACTCAAAGTGACAAACAGTTAACAATTTACCCAAATATTTCCCTTTTCTCATCACACATAAGTGTTCATTAGCGAGCCTATGAATGGTGCAATACTTGACGCACGCGGCACACTTATATGAATGTAATCAGTGATAATACTGAACATAGGCATAGTCAGCTAAACATTTGCTATATAAATGATAAATAACACTTCAAAAGGTCACACACTTGTATTTGAACGGACTCAGCAATAACAACGTGACACTAGCAAAGTCTGTCCATGTTCTGAATTGTTTTCCTGTTAACTATTTAAGAGATCATTTAAAGGGGAATCTGCGTCATGAGTGAAATACTTAGTAGAGTCACAAGAAGGCGTTATTGTTCTGTATAAACACATCAAAGCCTTTTCTACATTCTGGCTCTTTCTTAAATCCAAGAACGTAGAGAAAGGACTTGCGTTCTTGTGGAGACCCGTCTTGCCATGTGTCCTCGGAAAAATGAACTCAGGAGACTGCGAGAACAGAGAACGCGTCCTTTGGGAAATGAGATGCTTCCGTGTGGTCACATGACCTTCATGAATTTTAAATGGTAAATTATTAAAACATTACAGCATTCATACAGCGATTTATTGTTTTTCTTCTTTTTCAAAATATATACTCTGCATAAAAACATTATCAATATATGTTGCACAACATAAATAACACTGATTTTAATACGAATTTCAGCAAACAAACACCTTTAATGTGTTTATTCCCTTATTAAGATGTTCATGGTGATGTTTACTTTCACTGTTTCATTTAGAGAAACTCCTGAGGTAAATAAGTGATATCTCTGAACTTTATTTAAAAATCTATATTAAATGCTGCGTTATCCACCTCCAGTCGCAATGACTTCAGGGTCTTCTAAAGCGAGATCAGTGCTCAAGTCTGCATCGGTGCATCCTCGATATCAAGATCATATCTGCGAAGTGCCATGCGTCCTCTGTTCTTGCGGTCTAGAGTATTGGAACTAAACTTTGGCAATGGATGTTGACGTAACAGAAAAACACAAGGATGCAAGACCGCTGAAGAACGCATATTGAGAAACAGCCTATGTGTTGGTGTAAACATGTTTCTAACAAAGTGTGGAAGTTTCACGACAGTGTTGTAAAATTTTGTATCAGGGAGCCAGCATGGAATTTGAGTAAGAGATGTGAATGTGATCTGGCTCAAAATACTTCCAAATCAATGTTTGTTAAATGCATGATAAAGCGCAATGTTAAAGGCTGAATCCTGTAAGAAAGCGGTAGCATTCAACTTCGGAACCCCATGAGAGTATGTATATAGAGATTACTTATGTTGTTGAAACAAAATAAAACAATCTGTGAACAATTGCGCAACGCCTGTATTTTGAAGATCTTAAAGCATCTATCAGTTTTAATCCAGTATTATTTACTAAAAAACAACGCAATACATAGAAATGTTTTTAACATATCGTTTACATTAAATTTAAAAAAGCTCTTTCAGTGTTTTATGAAGACTGAGATGTTTGCATGAGTGTAATGGTAAGTATCTGATATGGGTGTGTTTGTCAGGATGTTTGCTGATAGTGACGGTGAGTCTCGGGCTCCTCTGTGTCGTTCTGCTGGTCATCATCGTACACCAGCACTTCTTAATCTCAGCAGAGAGAAACATGAAGAAGTGCACAGATGAAGATCTGCAGCGCACACAATTCTGCTTACCTGGACATCACACTCCACCACTGAGACAAGAACCCACCACTAAGACTACTGCAAAACCCACAACTAAATCTGCTGAAAAACCTATGATGAATTCTTCTAAACAAGGTCAGCACTGCACCTGGAGTTTTCTTGAGCTTTACTGTACTCAATGCAGCTTTAAGAAGGGTATTTTTCTGTTAGGAAATGTGTGTAGTCTGGACGGGTTTTCCTCTTCCATGGATGTGAAGAACTGGTCTGACAGCAGAGAGTTTTGCAGGAATCTTGGTGCAGATCTGGTCATGATCAAGAGTGAAGACAGGCAGGTGAGTTTGTACTGTGTCTGTTTTTAAATCAGAGGAATCACAGATATTCATGACTTTATTCACACACAGAAACGCATATCTTACTTCGTCAAAGTGAAGATCGGTGCACCAGTGTGGCTTGGTTTGACTGACACAGAGATTGAAGGCAGCATGATGTGGGTGGATAATTCTGCACTGAATCAAGGGTAAGTGCTGAAACTCACACACAATACCTCTGATACTTGAGTTCAAACACAATCCTAGACTCTTCAATGCACACATTAAAACAGATCCTACTCTGTTACTCACATCTGCTTCTGTATAAATAGGTTTATTGGTCATAATTGTTGAACCGTGAACTTCTGAATAACTGAAACCCTTCTGCATGTTTTACAGGTTTTGGATGAAAGGTGAGCCGAATAACAATGATGGAAATGAAGATTGTGTATTCATGAACCCAATACCTTCTCTGAAGAACTGGAATGATATCCCGTGCTCAGAGGTGGCCCGTGTTATTTGTGAATAATGGGCTTCATCCCATGTTGTCATTCATTCATTCATTCATTCATTCATTCATTCATTCATTCATTCATTCATTCATTCATTCATGTCAGCTCATTTCATCACAATTAACCCACTATCGAGGTGTCATATTTGTTTGATTATTATATTGTTTGTCCATTATTCTGAATCTCCAGTGTTTTCCTATTGCTAATAAACCCATATTTCTCTCATAACAGCAAACCTTTGATATTAGAGTGTTTGACTGCTTCATGCTAACATTTTTCACACCTTTCATTTAGTCTGTCTGATCTGAAGGAGAGCCATGATGGAAAGGCTATCAGTGTAGACACCACTGCTGTGTAATGACAAGATACAAGTGCAACGGCCTGAAAGCATCTGTTTGGTTTGTGTTCACTGTGTTTCTGTTAAATATAATAAATCTTAAAACAAACAGGCTTATTAAAATAGGATCTTCAGATAGATTTCTCTTTAAATGAAGAATTCTTATCTCTTGTGTGCTGCTGGGTCGTCTTCATCCACTCTGGGCTGATTTTAAGTCATTTGGCTTCCGCTTTCTCTGAGTTTCAGCAAATGCATTAATGTTTGGGTAAAAAAAATCTTATTTTAATTCACATTTTAGGGAAATGCTTGGGAAATATTCATAAACTCAACAATACTCTGTTCAGATTGACTCCCCTTTGGCTATGTTGTTTTTGCTCATTCACATTAATTGATTGTAAAGCCATGACAGCAGAAAAATCATGCGTTACTGACTGCTGCTGGTTCCCCCTGTCAGGAAGAGGAACAATTAGTCAAAATACAACCCGGGCTCATTGTGGAAACGTAGCCCCGCGGACGTTTTTGCGGACCGCGATTTACGTCCCGGGAGGTACGTATTTGAGCGTTTTTTTGTTTTCGCGGATCCGGGGAGCACGCGGCGTTCGCGTCCGCGCCGTTCTCGCGCGAAAAAAAAAAAAAAGCAAAAGCCCTCGTCTTCGATTTCGACCGTGTTTTCGGATCCCGCCACGTTCTCGCCCTTATTTTCCGGATTCCGTTTTTCGTCTTACCTGATTTCCGGAACCCGCTGTTCCCCGGACTCGATCCCGGTCGTCGTCCACCGCGGTCAGCTCCGGCTCCTCCTCCTCCAGGGCCTCCGCTCCGCCGACGCAATGCTGTGAGCTAGGCGGACAAACTGATTGCGTCGGGAAAGCCCTCCACTCGGAGGCGAGTCGTCGGCTGGCGAGCGCGAAGAGGAGGGGCGGAGCGGCGCCACACCGCCCCGCAGCGTTCGCTCGTAAAAAACCAAACGCGGCCTTTACGTACCTCCGGCCACGTAAATAGGCAAGGCAAGGCAAGGCAAGGCAAGTTTATTTATATAGCACATTTCATACACAATGGCAATTCAAAGTGCTTTACATAAAGAAGAATAAAAGAAACAAGTAAAATAAAAATAAAAACAAATAATAAAAATGCATAAAAACAAAACAAAACATAAAAACAGGTAAAATGTGATATAAAAGAATGACGAAGAAGAGAAAAACATGATCTGTCGGACGCAGCACAGTGCTCATTCAGTAAAGGCACAGCTAAACAGATGTGTGTTCAGTCTTGATTTAAACATGCCTAATGTTGGAGCACATCTGATCATTTCTGGAAGCTGATTCCAGCAGCGAGGGGCATAGTGGCTGAAAGCTGATTAACCCTGCTTTGACTGAACTCTTGGAACTTCTAGTTTATATGATCCTAATGATCTGAGTGATCTGTTAGGTTTGTATTCAGTCAGCATATCTGTGATGTATTTAGGTCCTAGGCCATTTAGTGATTTATAGACCAGCAATAATACTTTAAACTCTATTCTGAATGTAACTGGCAGCCAGTGTAAAGACCTGAGGACAGGTGTGATGTGCTCTGATTTTCTGCTTCTGGTTAGAATTCTGGCTGCAGCGTTCTGGATGAGCTGCAACTGTCTGACTGTCTTTTTAGGAAGACCAGTGAGGAGTCCATTACAGTAATCCACCCTGCTGCTGATAAAAGCATGAACAAGTTTCTCTAAATCTTCACTGGAAACAAAGCATCTGATTCTTGCTATGTTTTTGAGATGATAGTATGCTGATTTACTGACTGCTTTGACATGACTGTTGAAACTCAGATCTGACTCCAGAGTCACACCAAGATTCTTGACCTTATTTTTTGTCGTTTGACCTTTAGTGCCAAGGTACTCATTTACCTTGAGAACCTCATCTTTGTTTCCAAATACAATCATTTCAGTTTTCTCTTTGTTTAACTGAAGAAAGTTTTGGCACATCCAATTGCTCATTTCATCAATGCATTGGCAGAGGGTGTCAATGGGGCTGTAGTCATTAGGCAGTAAGGCTAGGTAGATCTGAGTGTCATCAGCATAGCTGTGGTAGGAGATTTGGTTCTTTCTCATTATTTGGCTTAGAGGGAGCATGTAAAGGTTGAACAGGAGAGGTGCCAGAATCGAGCCTTGTGGGACTCCACACGTCATGGGTGTCCACCTCGACCTATGGTCACCTATACTGACATGGTAACCTCTACCTTCTAGGTAAGATCTGAACCATTTGAGGACCGTGCCAGACAGCCCAACCCAGTTTTCCAGCCTATCCAGAAGTATGCTGTGATCGACAGTGTCAAATGCAGCACTGAGATCCAACAATACCAGCACTGTTATTTTACCTGAATCTGTATTTAGGCGGATATCATTGATTATCTTTATAAGAGCGCTCTCTGTACTGTGATGTGCTCTGAACCCCGATTGAAAATTGTCTAAACACCCCCTGAAGTTTAAGAACTTGTTAACCTGGGTAAAAACAACTTTTTCAATGATTTTGCCAATGAAAGGGAGATTTGAGATTGGCCTGTAATTGCTCAATAGGGTGTTATCCAGGTTGCTCTTCTTCAAGAGGGGTTTAACAACTGCAGTTTTAAGTGAGGTTGGAAAAATCCCTGAGAGAAGTGAAGCATTTACCACTTTTAGAAGATCCATTTCTAAACAGGTAAACACCGTTTTGAAGAATGATGTGGGGAGCGTGTCAAGACTGCAGGTTGATGTTTTCATAACTTGCACAATCTCTTCTAAGATTTTGCTGTTAATTGCCATGAAATCAGACATAATGTCTGATTTCTTAAGTTGTGGTTGAGCTTGTTTGATATCGACACAAGTTGACTGATTGGATGAGCTGATTGCCTTTCTGATATTATTGATCTTATCAGTGAAGAAATGAGCAAACTCATTACATTTGCTTTCAGAGAGGAGCTCACTTGGAATCCGACTGGGGGGGTTTGTGAGTCTCTCTATCGTTGTTGCAAAGAGTGTACGAGCATTATTTAAGTTGCTGTTTATAAGGCTTGAAAAGAAAGTCTGTCTAGCAGTGTTTAGTTCCATATTAAAGGCATGAAGACTGTCTTTATAGATATTATAATGGACTACTAGTTTCGTCTTTCTCCACATACGCTCAGCTTTTCTGCACTGTCTTTTCATCATTTGTACTCTAGGTGACCTTGTCCAAGATCCCTTTTGCCTGCCAGTCATCTTCTTGACTTTAACAGGAGCGATGTCATTTATGACATTCTCAATTTTAGAATTGAACAAGTCAAGGAGAGCATCAACAGAATCTGCAGATATATTTGGTGCCAGCGATATGGCCTTCATAAACTGCTCACTGGTGTTCTCATTTATGCATCTCTTTCTGACAGAGACATATCTGTCTTTAATAGCTGGAGTGATCAATATATCAAAAAAGATACAGAAATGATCAGATAGTGCCACATCCTTAACAACAGTCGATGAAATGTGTAAACCCTTAGTTATAAGTAGATCAAGAGTGTGTCCACGATTGTGTGTGGGTCCTTGAACATGCTGAGTCAGATCAAAAGTGTTAAAAACAGTCATCAGATCTTTTACAGCATTGATTTCTGGATTATCAATGTGAATATTAAAATCCCCAGCAATACTAAAATAATCAAATTCAGAGGTTACTATTGATAACAGCTCTGTAAAATCCTCAATAAAAGCTGGAGAATATTTTGGAGGTCTGTAGATAATGATCAGTAAGATGCGTGGAGCACCTTTTAGTGCTATACTCAGATATTCAAAAGACAGATAGTCACCAAATGACACTTGTTTACATTCATACACATCTTTAAACAGGGCAGCGATGCCTCCACCTCTCCTATTAGCTCTGCAAACACTCAAAAAGTCAAAGTTTAAAGGAGCTGCTTCATTCAGAACTGCTGCGCTACAACTGTCATCTAGCCAAGTTTCAGTTAAAAGCATAAAATCAAGGCAATTTGTGTTGATAAAATCATTGACTAAAAGAGACTTATTGTTGAGCGATCTGATGTTTAAAAGCGCTAACTTAAGAGTTTTAGCTGTTTTTTCTATAGTAGTCTCAGATCTACATTTAATAGACACCAGATTTGAATGATTTGCTAAACGGCCTGATGAAGTCTTTGGTTTTCTGTCACTTAACACAACACATATCTGCTTAGAGAAAGCTGCAGACACACTGGGTTCCTGCTTGTTCTGAAAACATTTGATAAAGACACTGTTATCTAAGCAGGTCCCCGACACGCATCACAGAGAGCTCTTGTGTTCACCAGCTGAAGATGGGTTGTTGTTGTTTGGGCCCTGGCGGTGTGATCGGAGGGCTCTTCCAGGTGGGCTCATAGGTGGTTGTGGAGCAGGCCGCTTTTTGGTTGGTAACTGGGGGCTTGCGGCAATGGAGTGTGAAAGTTTAGTTCCAGCACACACCAGTTCCTCCATCTTTTTTGAAAAACCCAAGAGTGGTGAACATTGTGACAATGAGAACGTGTCCGGTGACAGAGGCTGTGCATCTGGAGATTCTGTCTGCAGAAGTATGCTTTCCTGAGGATCATTTTTGAGTGATGAGACTTGATGCTGTTCTGATGCGTCACAGTCTGCCTGTGTTGAGCAGAGGGCAACTGATAGTGTCTCTATCAACATTGGGTGTTTTGGCTGCGTGGCATTATCACTGTCCTTGGGTGATTCGTCAGCCACAAGTCCACTCAGGAGCTGATTTGAAGTCCTGTGGTCATCCGGACATTTGCTAGGTGTGTGTTTGCAATTCAGTTCAGTGGCATACACAGCTGATGGATGATTGAGGGAGAAAAAAATATTGTCCTTTAGCACCTTTGCACCAAGTTTGTTTGGATAAAGGCCGTCTGATGTAAACAGCTGTCTTTGGTT